GCCATTACAGCACGTCAGAAAAGGCTCCACGGAAACGACACCACCAGTGGGAGCTTAAAGTCGGAAATTTTGACGGCTATCGATCTTAAATCTTTGGTGCTGATATTTTTGAAGAATTTGATTGTTAGTCGACTATGCAAAAATTGGCCAGCGTAAGTAAAGATGGAAATTATGCTGGAATCGTTTAACTGGTTTAGAATAATCATCAGCGAGAATGCGCTGTTTCAGTTCCCTAGGATGGTAGGAGGCAGACCTGTCTTCATTCAGTGATTATGAAAACTCGCCTACGTATATAACCTAAAATAATAAAATTTTTCAGAGGCGTTTTTGCCACCGCGGATTTGCGTTAGAAGTCATGCCCACGCTTCGTTTGGTTTATTTGGTGGTCGGACTCATATCCGTTTCAAGCGCCGAGCAGGCGTTGAAGATAGTGAAAGAATATGGAGAGAGCGGTTTCAAAGGGAACTTCCTGTACGGCAGAAAGGGCGACTCGTTTAAGATAGCTTGTGTTGCTCCGGTCGATCTGTCGCCGGAAGACCACAGCAAATTGGTTTGGTTGGAGAAAGGCCGAAGTGTGTGCGACGAAGAGAAGTGCGAAATCGTTCGACACTTCGAAAGGTACAAGCAGACTGCCCGGACGATTGAATGGAAAGCCAAGGGGGATACGGTGCTCACGTGCGCCTACAAATCTGAGCCAGAACAATGGAAGAACGTTTCCGTACAGATTTTCGTCGATCCAAGAATGGCAAGCACATTCGAGTTGAATGAGACCGCCACTGGACTCCAGTCACTGCGGCTAGCCTGCGACCTACCGGCGAACAGCGGTGACAAAATTGAATGGATTCATGACGGACATCCCATTCACAGGTCTGCAAGAATGAACGTCATGACCAATAACGGAACTCTGTTTTTCACCGAGACGTCCTTGGTGGACAGCGGTGTGTATTACTGCCGTTCCTCCGAGGTCAAAGCTAGGCGTGGATCGATCATTATCGTGAAAGGCAAGGCACATATTGCTCAAAGAGACGTCAGAGGCATAAATCGTCTGCAGGGCGACAGCTTGCAGATTAACTGTGACGTTTATGGATATCCGCTTCCGAACGTCACCTGGAAGAGGAACGGGGAAGACTGGACAAACGCCTCTGACCGAGTGCTTTTCGACAGCTACAACGGAGTCCCTAATGCTTCTTTGAAGATAAGCGATCTGCGATTCGTCGATGGGGCCGTTTATTCGTGTATTGCAACCAATAGCTATGGGGTCGAAAATGCGACCTACGTGGTTCGCGTGAAAGAGAGGCTGTCAGCATTGTGGCCTCTGCTTGGCATAATGATCGAGGTGGTGGTCTTGGTGACGGTCATCCTCATGTGTGAGAGGCGAACGTCCAGGATGGAACAGTTCGAGAACATAGAAGATCGACGGAAGAAGACGTTCAATGAAGAAAACAACGAGAAGGAGGCACAACCGCAAAAAACCTGACCTCATCTGCCGTGTACTGAGCGATAAAAATACTCGATAGCATTCAGAACAGATTTGATGAAATTTGGCCATTTCTATTCCGCGGTTATTAACTTCTGATATAGTTGCTTTTCCTCAATTTTTTT